GTCTGGGCTGGGCTGTAGTTGTGGGTGTTGTTTGGTCTGGCTTACCTCCGGCGCTGAGATGGAGAGAAACATGGCAGCCACAGAATGCTGCTAAAGATCAAAGATGCAGCAGCGGCGATGCTGCCGACAGCAGACAAGCCAAGCCACAGCAGGAGTGCCGGTTTGTCAGCCAGCCCTTGGAACCGGGGATAAAAACCCACCAAGCCACATTCTGGGAGGATTGGAAGTGAGTCCTCCAGAGAGCCCAGGATGGCATGAGACAAATGAATGCCCTGGCAGGGCCAAGTGGTGGCAACCCCGAGAAGTGGGATGCCCTGTTAAGGTTGGCTCAAAGGAGCCAGGGTACATACCTCTCTCAAGATTATGGATCCCGGACAACGCTGGGAGAGACTGGGACAGCGGTGAGCCTAGAGAGAGAAAACAAAAAGAAAGGATATGGAAGCTGTGAGTAGCCCCTGGAGGGGGAAGAGAGAGTAACCTGAGGAAAGCTACCCCAGGATGAATCCCATAATGAGTCAGGCCAACATGAGGCCTATAAAAGGACAGTAAACCGTCCAGATTGAGACTAAGTTTAGATAAGGGCTAAAGACTCAGCTATGGCAGGTTGACTTTTCTTTAGCTTTGGCCAAAGACTAACATCATCACTGGTTGGCGCAAGGCAGGGTGTAGGGGAGGCAGAGCCCTGAGATGAAGACCTAAGCGAGTGACTGAAGAGAAACCCAGGAGTAGCTGGATTAGTGAACTTCCTCCAAGCAATAATCCATACCAACAAGACATGGCAGGCAAGAACCCCTGGGCCCCCTTTTAGGGAAAACTTAATGGAGGGCAAGCTGTTGACCCAACAGGAGACAGCTGTGTCCAAGCAGCCCAAAGAGGCAGAGTGTTCCAGTGAACATCACAGCCGATTACATCAAGTCAGCCTGGGATTGCAAGGACTGGATCAGGCATAGGTAATACAAGGTGCAGTAGTAGAGCTCTGGCTGTGTACCAGAGTAGCTAGTTGTCATATGAAGGTTGGGGAAGAAGTCACAGGGTGAGGAGCAATGCATTGTGGGATGCTCGAGGACCAACCAGAGACTAATGGCAGAAAGTCTGGTGTCCGCACATAACACTAAACTGGGAGGAACAGGTCAAAATAATACCTGGTTATCCAGATATACTTGTGAAACATTGTAGGAGGTTTAAACCATTCTAAATTGGCTTGTAAGCCTAGTTGCTTGTGGTTCAAACACCTAAATTTAAACAGTTAAGTGTTATGTCTACCTGTAGTCAAGCATCATATAATGCCTTTCACCCTACCCAATTTATAACATTCATTATCCAACTTTGCTAAACAAAAATTGAAAAAAAAATATATATTCCAAAAGCTGCATTAATACTTCCTCCCCAGTCTTCTCAGAACAAAGAACCTGTGTCAGTTACATCCATCTTTTGGCAGCTCCCTACTTGGTATGCTTACCTTGCTTCATGGGCTGGTTGGGCTGGTTGCCTTGCTTCATGGGCTGGTTGCTTCATGGCTTTATCCTCTGCTCATATCACTTTCATTTTCAGTGGATTTATATTAAGATACATTCTTCAATTGTTTTAATTTCAACTCTGTACTTTTCTAGAGTTTAGAACAGAAGCCCCTTACTTTCAAGGAAAATAATAAATACTCAAAATATGTCATTTTTCAAACAATTTTATTAACTACTTGCATTAATTTGGAAAGACAAAGGAGGCAGGTTATGATTATAACAGCAATAACAACAAGTAAAATATTAAAGGATATATCACAATGGGCACGTCAACCCATGCATTAATGTGGTTTTCCTAATACACGTTAAATTTAGTACCTCCAATGTGAAGTACTGAATAAATGCACATTAGGCTGTCATAATGTTGGGTAGTGAAAGTGCATCCTTTTTAAGTGATGCTTAATGGACACTAGCCTATTATTCTGAGCATTAGTGTATTTGCACTTTTTAAATGATGTTTTAATGCACAGTAAAATGAGCTACTGCACATTGAAGCACGTGTAGCTGTGCCCAGTTAAGTGCAAATACATATCACACTGTAATCACTTTCACATGTATTCAGTCTTAAAAAGGTGCTTTCAACCTAGTGCAAATTTGCAAAAAAGAATAAAGAAAAATAAAAATGATAACTACATCAACAAGTTTGCTTGGAGAGTAATTTTTCTTTCTATTTCTGCAACTATTTACCTCACAGATGTTATTGTCAGGATGAAATAGTTAATATCTAATATGTGTACACTACTGTAAAGATGTAACACATCATGCAAGTGTTCTGATCAGAGACTGGACCCTACTGACACTCATATTAGCAGGCTTTACTTGCACTTACATTAGCAGGCCTTACTGGAAATTAATTGACTAAAGGTCTTTCTGAGGAGATGATGCTATCTTTCTCATTGTATACACAGATCTTTTAAGTCCATGGTCAACAAATGAGATATCTCATATTTTTACCTACCAGATTTAGGACTCATGTTATCAACTCATATTACTTCTCATGGTGAATCTTCAGCAAGTAATCAATTTTGACTGATTACTTACTGGAAATTGACTGGAAGTTGTTGCCCTGTGCAAATCACAGCATCACAGAAAATACGTATTGGAGAAGCACGAAAGGTTTTGTGCTTGGAAGGGTACCTCAAAGGAATTGCTTATTATCACTCATTTTGATGGGTCACATGGGCATGGCCAAGTTTAATCTCTGGACATTATGCAAACAGAAGCATTTTCCAAACATTTCTTTGCAAAGCAAAAATGTAAAATTTTGTTCCGTTTTATTCAGAATTGCACTGCAGAATAGATGAGAACAGGGAGCTTGCAAGACTTCCCTATAAAATTGTAGCTTTTTTTGCAATAATTAAAACAATACCTTAGACACAACTACAGATTTTGCCTCTCTTTCTTCTCTTTCCCTCCTGGGCCATTTATTTTAGCTTTTTTATGATCTAAAGCTTTTAATATACCAGAATCATCAAGACTAATCTTCATCTCACACTTTGGTGAGTTTGACACGTTGTTTGATTGGATGCCTGGAAGCTGTCATTTCCTTGCCTGATCAGAAACACGCTGCTGTTTTGTGGGTGCAGCCTCATCCCTGCAACTGATAGCATTAAGGTTTTTACAGCTTGGTTTGTATGTGCAATTACTTCCAAAATTGCACCTGCAAAAGAAATTGGGTTGAGCTCCTTTAAAAACCAGGCTATAAAATTATTAGTAGTTGAGTTTTTATACGGTGCATACGAAGTGTAAAACTGATGTAAAATAATTAAATTTAACAAAACAGTTAAGGAGATTATTTTTAAAAAGCAGTTAGTGGCTAATAGAGTATAATCCTATTGCAAAGTATTATTTTTTTCATAATTTCCCATTAATTCTAAATGTTAAAGAGATTTCCATCAAGGCCCAAGTAAATGGCCAAAATTACAGACCACTTCTGCCAAAGATACCTTCCTCACAATGTTTTCCTTATATTCTTTACATAACTGCTTTGCATAATATCTCTCCTTCCCTGTCTTCATCAAACCACCTTCTCAGTCATACTTCATAAGGGAATCACAT